AATACGGTTTATAAAATAATTGTTTAGTTGTATTATTAATTTTCCCTAAAAAATGTCCCTGCTTCTTTGTGTATCCTCTGCGTGCATGTGTGTGTGTATTTGTACCTCGCCGTCTCTTTCCATTCCGCATCCTCTCCCTCTTTCAGGCAGATTTCGTCCAGCTCTGTGAAGAGAGCGTGAGGAATGTGTTCCTCGTCATCCTCCATTCCCAGCAGGAACTGTACACGCTGAGACGGTGTGTCTGCTACAGAAATACAGAGACACATTTTATTATTTATCTCTGTCCTTTCTGACTCAATCAAGTTTTCATTTATCCTTGTAGAGTGACAGTCTTACTATATGAAGGTGATTCTCTGCCATCCTCAGTTCCAGAGTCTCTCTCCCGTGACCTCTTCCTGTGGCGATGTCCATGGTGACGATGCCGTCTGTGTGACCTCCGACCCAGTGGTACATGCACCCCAATGTAGAGGGTACGGTGGCCTGCCAGGGACAAACAGAAGAGGCCAGCTATCACAAAATGTTCTAAATAAAGTAGCTATAGGGCACTACAGTGATAACGTATTTTTTGTAGGCCAACCCGGAAGTTAGCATCAGTAGGATTTATCCATTGGCTTCTGGATTATTGCAGAAAAAGAGCTTTGTGCACAACAAAAGTTTATCATTCTTACACATTTTTTTCATTAAGATCTTCACAAATGAACACAATATTACTTATATAACATCTTTTTTTTAATAAGTTGGAAAGTTTGAGTTAGAATGGTATATAAGCGCGCAATTATTAACACAACGAGGCTGTGAAATCAGACAAGAAAGTAGCTTTCCTGTTCAGCATACTGATGTTTAATGTATAGGGATATAACGCACGATGCATCCTGAGCCAGTTGAAAATCGATGAAAATATTTGACAATACAAGTCGGTTGATAAATTTGGGGCTGGGGGGTTTTATGAATGCATCTCTGAGGGGAACTGACTGTCTTCAGAAACGTTTAGATGGTATTTTCTTTTCATCTTGCCTCCCTATAATGCATATTAAATTAGTGTTTATAAGCTGAGCGCTGCCTTGTTTACAGCGGTAACCAAGGAAATGCTATATTCCCGTTGTTCCATAAGTGCCACCTGCTGTCAGAGAGAGAATCTGCGTTCTCATTCAGCCCGTCTGCTTTTATAGTTTTATGTAGCATAATTTCAGAAAGCTAAAGTCAGACGATTCTGTTTTTGCTTCAAATGCATTTTTTTGTACAAGAGGAATTTCTCGCTGGAAAATGTGGACATGCTGATATTTATAAAAAAATAAAAAAAAATAAAAAAAAGCTAGAAAAAACCTTTAGTATGTTTATATGAAGATATTCCTTCTATTTGTTTTATTTATTTATTTATGAATTTATTTATTTATTTGATTGATTTGGGATTTGTTTAAAATTTTCTAATTATTTTTGCTATTTGACAATTTATTTGACAAGATATTTCTGTGCCATTTTGCCAGGGAAAACATGTTGTCTTAATTACTGTTACTGTCACTGGATGCTTACAAATTTCCATGGAAGAAAGAAAGCCATGTAGTTCTTAATCAACATGAGAGCGAGTAAATCATGACAAAATGTTTTTTGGAGTGAACTGTTCCTCAATCTTAAAGTGTCTAGCAGATGTAGAAGGCTGTTGTGCAAGATCCAATCTCTGCAGTCACATAATCAGATTCGGCGGTTCTGTACTTTGTGTTTCTGTTCTTGTTTACAGTCTCAGATTAAACTATAGCATTAAATCCCTCTCTCACTCTCTCCCTCCAGCTCTCTGAACTGAGATGCACTCTGATAGTGTGTGTCTGTGGGGAGAGAGCACATACGTGTGCTTGTGTGCTTCCAGCCCTGGGCACTGACACAGAAAAGCCACAAAACAGACCTTTACATCACGACTTAAGTGTGTGAAGCAGACAGATGGCGATCAAAAGCAGAACAGAAATATGGTCCATGCTGACTGTGTCTTCTGAATCACCTCATCACTTTTTAATATCACCACCGTCTCACTCTTTAGAGATAGACACTCTAATGAGCTTTAGTTTCACTGGCTCACTCAGTCGTGCAATTTAGCATCTAAATAAGTGATAAAGACCTCCAGGGCTGAAACAAACACACACACGTGTGCTTTTATCTCATTACCTTCACTGGTATCTTCCCCCATCAGCCTTGAGGTGTGGGTTTGTGTGACCATGTTGTACTTCATACAAAGATGAATCACTTCCTTTCACATCAGTGAAATATCCTCTAAACACCACAATTCAGAGCAGTTACAAAGATGTAGATAAAATTCAACACTTGAAAAAAAAGACACTTTCTCTCCAATTGGGGGTCTTTATATAGGGTTAAGTAAGGATGGGGATGAAACAGAGAGGTTCTTTAGGCACAGACACTCTCTGGCTCCAAGTGTGTGTGTGTGCGTGTGTGTGTGTGTGTGTGTGTGAAGGAGCTGGAATGAAATGTTTCTCTAAATGGAATATTTCCTCAGGACTAAGAACAGCTAATGTCAAACAGCGGATTTATTTCCTCTCTGCTTCTCTGTTGTCTGAAAATTAGGGCACCATTCTACAAAACGTTTGAGAGCCTGTGTTTAAAGCATGCCAAATGTCTGTTGAAAGCAAATTTGGTGTACAACATATGCTCTTCTGGAGCTAATGATGTTTAGAATCAACTTTATGCTGCTTTAGTAAATAATATTGGGATAGTAAACAAAAACTATATGCACAAGAGAAAGCAATTCATTGCTATTGGCTAGATAGTGTTAGCTTTAATAATCTAATCTAAAACTAACACAAATTCAGGCCTAAAAAAAGAAGGTGTACGGTCCTAAGAATTTCACTTATTAAGTTCTATGTATTTGCTGCAATTTTAGCTAAGGTTTAGAAATGTTCTACTGCTTTAAGATTTGAGTAACATGATGCACACAACAAAAAAAAGCTAAAAATTGAATATTATAAATATATTGTGTTTTTATATAATGTTTTTAAAGCATAATTTAATTTAATTTTTAAATATTAATGCATCAGGCAGTGTGTTTGACTACCAGGTTTAGAGTGTGTGTTTAATAAGCTTCAATTACCTTCTAGCTCCTCTTTCTCAAAATTTGTGTTGAGCATGGACCGAGTCCCGCCCCTGTCCAGCACGGCTTCCTCATCGTTTCTCTACAAAACAGAACACATTTATTAAACACAGTCACACATACAAATTAATTCTCATATAGATGATAACTAACAGATAACATCCTACAATCTATTCTATGATATACAGCAAAGCATATGGCAGCGCAGAGCATATGCATGAGCTTCACACATACACATATAAACACATAGACAGTACTGTTCAAAAGTTTGGGGTCGGTAATAATATTATTAATATATTTAGTTTATTCCTGTGATGGCAAAGCTGAATTTTCAGAAGCAATTACTCCAGTCTTCAGTGTCACATGATTTTTTTTTATATAAAATTATAAATGTTTTTACTGTCAATTTTGAACAATTTAATGCATGCCAAAGTTCTGTCATGAAACTCTATCCACCTTATTTTTCCCGTTAGAGCGGCTGCGGCCATTTGTAAATTTAATGTGTCTGACTTCCGGTGTCATCCGCTTTCAGCTATTTTTAGCTGTACAAAACAGCTAATTTTGCGGCTTGATATTTCAAACTGGTGTGTCTTACCATATTATTTTAATGTATTATATTAATTATGAATGCACTGGTTTGTTGTGCAAACAGTTTTGCCGTTTACTGCACTTTGTTATTCTTCTCATTATTTCTAATGAAATAATCAGTAGCCCTACAGCGGCTAATGAAACGGAAGTCTCGCACATTGACAGAAAAAGGCTTACTTCCGCATTGAAAAATAAGGTGGATATGGCGCAGTCCGATAGTTTCCAACTTAATCTGACATAATGACATCATTATTCACATGACGCAGCAGCCAATGAGCCTGCTGCTCAACATTCAAATAGCTAGTGCTTGCATTAGCAGGTGCAGCTCGCTTCAGAAACCCACCTCCTTCCCCAGCTCCACTTATTATTTCAAATATCAGTATTCAGCGTGTTTCTCTTTTTTTTTCAAAACAACACAACATTAATTATGCATTTGTAACTGCAGGTTAAATGTATTCATGTCCTGCATTAAACAGTCTGTGTGAATGCATCTAAATGCCACTTCAGATGCAGATTCAGATTCTGATTAAATTTAGGAATTTGACACAAAAGATGCTGCATACATTGAATTAGGTTAGAAAAAAAATTGTATAAAGGTAAAAATGCCTATAAAAGCTAAAAATCAGTTTAAACTTGTTGCAAAAGTTCATTTCTGTTACTGCTGCAAACGAACCACCGCACAGAATATGAAGAATATCAAAAGCTTTGGGAGTCAGCTGTCCATGGCAGTCCTAAACCTGCCAAAGTACCAGCACTAGTGGCACTAGTGGACCCGGTATTTCGGTACCAAGTCGGTACTAAAAAAATGAAAACGTTACGATACCAGGTTTTCTTAAGTACCGCTTCTTGATGGCGATCCCAAAGCTATCCTCTTCCAGTGTTGCCAAGTCCGCGGTTTTCCCGCAGAATTGGGCTGCTTAACACTGTTGCCGCGGGTTGTTTTTCATGTCCGCGGGTTGAAAAACGACCCCATTAACGTGATATTTAGCCCCTGGAATGCAAATTTTACCAGGGGAACCCCGCCAAAACACGCGTATTTTCCATATAACTATTGTTTATTGTTAGGTCATGTTATCTAACAAATAAAAACTTATTGTAAAGTGTTTTTAATACTAAAGTTTGCATCTATTTGATATAAACTTAATATATATAATCTTATCTAAATGTATTATAAAATCTGAGGTTTGTTATTTCCTGAAAAGTTATATTTTAGCTGGTGTCAATGATCTAATGTTGCATTTGGTCAGACTCAGCCCATTGCTTTACTGAAGTATATTATATTTTCCTTTTACAGCTGCAGACTGAGGAAGATCCTGAAACACACTAGCAAACCCTAAAACAGACAACAGTTTACAGATGTTTTTCAGTGGCAGCAGAACTATGACTAAACTTTTGGGTGAAACTTGTTTACTTTTTTCATACTTTTATTACTTGTGGAAAAACTTGAAACAATTTTAAATAAGTATAAAAATGGAATTGGTTTTGTACATTTAATTTTTGTTTAACGTTATTAATAAAAATGTTGTTCAATTAGCATGTTTTTGTGTTTTGCTTTAGTACCGAAATTGGTACCGAGAACCGTGGATTTTCACTGGTATTGGTACCGAATACTGAAATTTTGGTACCGTGACAACACTAACCAGCACAATAACAAAATATCGTCTAATTATCGTTACTGACAAAATTCCAAAAAATATTGCGATATCATTTTTTGTCATTATCGCACACCCCATATCTGAATATGAATATGCCTACTTCCAAAGCCCATGTTTTACTCCTATTAAATGCCATACTGTGGCAATAACAGACCCTTATTCCCTCTCACACCACCAATAGATGATATCCCAAAATAAGCAGCCGTCTGCCTGAGCCTAACCTTAGCAGACAGTTTCCATGACAACTAACGTGGCCTGCCGCTAGTTGTCCTCAGAACATAAATGACATTGTTTTAGTCCCATGTAAAGACAAAGACTCACCAGCATGTGGCTCAGAATCTAGATCAGCCACAATCCAGTTTAGATGGAGAACTCATTCATACACTTCAGCAGCTTGCACATAATCAGTTGCACATCTTTAGAGTGACATATGGCTACGGCCCACAGCAGAAGTGAAGCAATTCATTTTAAAGGCATAGATTAGATAACTGTGAGATGATCCGCTTGTACCTGAGCGGATGGTATGGATGGACGACATTCAGGGTACTTTCAGCAAAACACGGGTTTCTAGGACCATTTAGGCTGAATGAGATGTGGATCACATGGGAAGAGATTATCACTGTGTGCTGGAACATCCTACACATACATATGAGCATCCACGTGAGAGAGTCAAGGGGATCATGGGAGAGGCCAGAATATGCTGCAGGTTTGGTTGGTTTGACCACAACAGCGCATAATTCTCCCAAAAAAATTAAATAAATTCTAGCGGTGCTTGGAATGCCAGTAAAATGCTAAGCTGTTGGAAGTGGTTGCCAGGGCATACAAAGTGTATGGTGTGAGTTCTTTAAACATTGCTATGTGTTTGCCAGTGCTTGGTAGTAACTGATTACATGCAATCTGGGATTATGTAATCAGATTCCAAAAATAAAGTACTTGTAATTAGAGTGTTACATTTTAAAATGCTCTTAATCATATTACAGTTACTTTTTATGTTTTATTAGTCACACAAGAGCAGTAATTTATTCATAATTTATCGATTCTCCTTCATTCTTCTTTATATCTCTTTAAAATTTTCCTTTCTAAAAATCCTACTGTTTCATACCATTTATAAAATTTAGTGATGGTAAAAATTTACCATCACTAAAATGACAATATTGTTTATCGTTATTATTTCTGGGGCAATATGTCACCTAGCAAAAAGTAGTTATTGTGACAGGCCTATATGTTACTACAGTGTGTGGTTTCAGAATGTTCTGAATGGTCTTCAGCATGTTGCTATGTGGTTGCTAAGTAGGGCTCTATGAAATCAGTTTTATTTTTTTCCAAGTTTTTTCAGTTTTCATTTTTCTGGATTCCATTTATTTATTTATTTTCATTTGAATTTTTCTAGAGCCATTAAAAGGAAAAGAATACGCTCAAATGTGCATGTTCAACTGCCATTAAAACCAAAAGGAAAAGAATTGTGCGTGCATGACACGTGAGAATCAGTGAGGTCTGTTTTAACGCCTCACACACGTTTGAGCTTTCATTTTCAATGTATCACAGTTTTAGAGTCACGGTTTCGGTACGGTTCAGTATGTGCTATGTTTAGGGAAAAACGATACTGTCAAATAAAAATAAAGAGAATAAGAATAATCTATCTAACTACATGCAACAGCACAAATAAATACAATAGTGTAAAGATACAAATAAAATAAACAGTGATTTTCAGGTTTTTTTAGGTACGTCTAACATTAGTTTTAATTGTAACAATATTTTAATGTAAAACAGCATTGCATATTTTACTGTATAAATTAAAGATTAATCTTTATTAAAGTTACAAAAGCTATTCAATCAAGAGCAGTGAGTGATTTCTTTGTTGTTGCTGTTTGATTAATATTAAGAAAGTGCTGTCACTTTAAGAGAAAGCACTGATCCAGTGCACTGATCCAGTATGTTCAGCCAGCTTGGTCTGCTATAGGATACTTACCAAGACAGGCAATTTGACATAATTTTTGTGCGAATTTGTCCATTCAAACATGATACTTCAAAGAGAGCTTAATATTTGCGCACATTCTGAGGTGCGGGTTTGCGCGCATTGGACCAGTGCACGCACAAATCTTCTCACTCTGGCTCTTAAATGTTTAAACTGGCAAAGCTTAAATGAGTTTAGTTTAAACACAGATATCAACGTGTGCTGTTCAGGTCTCACCTGTGCATGCACGCTATCAGCACGATGACGGAATAAATGACTGCTCATATTCCAGCATTCGCATTGAAAAAGAGTGAATGGTTTGTCCACGTTTTTTTTTTTCCCATCGCTGTTGTTGTAATGTATTGGGAAGCCAGAATGCGCATCCATCAACAGAAACATACATTAGCCAAACCCTGTTTGTTTTACGTGTTATTTATAACAAACCACATTACAGATGCGTTGTCAGATTTAAGTTGAACCGCGGTACTAGTGCGTGCCGAACCATGTGTGGAGAACCGTACGGTTCGATTTTTTACCGAGAAATGTTCCACCCCTAGTTGCTATGGATTGCGTCTTGCTTTGGATTTGACTGAAAGACTGTCATTCTGACAGCGCAAGTTTCATGCTTTCTAATCATATCTCTACTAATCATATCTCTAGATATTCTACTAATGTCTTTATACAGTATGTGCAGATATAGACATAGAGAAAGTGTATCTTGTATATTTTTACACACACACACACACACACACACACACATAAACATATATTACATTTACTCTCTGCACAACTCTGTATACATTGGATTGATTTAAATAACTTTAATGTAATTGAATTGTGCATCAAACACTAGGAACATACAAGTATCGGATCGGGAATCGGTATCAGCAGATACTTAATATTCAATGACTCGGATTGGATCAGGGCAACAAAAAAAAACCTGATCGGGACATCCCTAATCAAAAGCATCTTTATTTAATTGATTTTATTAAAAAAAAATTAAAGAAAATATTTTTTAATTTATTTATTTTCCCAGTTTTATGTATTTACATTTGCCTGCTAAATAAATTCTGTTAAGTCATTTTTCTGGTAAATATTCCTTAAAAAATAATTTTATTAGCAGTAGGCCTAGTAGTAGTACTATTACATTAAGTAATATATTTCTGTTACAGTTTCTTCAAGCTAAACCAAACTTTTATTTTGACGGGTGGCTATGAAGACCTTTAAGTTTCTGTTTGTATGTGATATGACGATAGTTTTTCTCAAATTAAAGAAAGTTGCTAGGATGTTGTGGGTGGTTGCATTTTTAAATGCCGTTACTATGCAGACTCAGGGCTGCACCCAATGCGTTAAAGCACAGCATTAGTAATAGTGATGCTTGACTAATAAAAAACTCTGAGAATCTCAGAGCATCACTGCCTCGGTGACTCATTTTTCTTGAGCTGTGATGCGTGCATGTGTGTGTGTGGCCACACTCATGAGAGCGAAGAAACCATAAATGGGAATCCAGGGTGATCTATATAGATAACCATGGCAACTCAGCCCAGCAGGCTCATGGGAAGCTCCATTCAGTCTGCCTGTGATGTCATCAACATGAGCCCTAATCTCTCCATCTTGTTCTTGGAGGGAGAGATGAAGGACACATGTGCACACAGATATTCTGATAACTCATTAACACGTCTGTCGCACACGTCATTAGTACGACACATAACAACATTGAGACTTTGAGGGGGAAAAAACTGTTTGACAGAGATAACACCTGTGCAAACATATGAAAACACACACGTACACACGTTCACACCCCCTTGTGTGTTCAGACCTCACTAATGAAAGCTAACAGTGTGTCCCACAGGCCTGATTCTCTTTATATTAATAAGCAGCTTCCTGTCTGCAGCTGAGGTGTGACATTATATCTGAGATCCCCCACGTTCATCTTCCCTAATCTTTCACACTTTGTTTCTTCTTTATCCATTTCCTCTCTTTTAGTGTTGTCAAAAGACTCGGTACTTCGGTACCAAGTCGGTACTAAAGAAATGAAAACGTTACAGTACCAGGTTTTTTTAAGTACCGGTGGTACCGCGTACCCGGTTAACCCGGTTCTTGATGCGTTATCTGAAAGGTGCGCAGATGCGCTCTTCATAAAAGCACGGAGACATGGCGATTATTTGATTACAGCCATTACTGGGGAAACCTCTATCTTTCCCGCTCTACAAGCGCCTCCTGCTGGCAGAGAATGAATTTGCATATATATGCTGCCACAAATAGAGTGCAAGTCTGTGGGAAACACCGCTTATGTTATGAATATTAGGGGTGCTCCGATTGATCGGCTACCGATCAATATCGGCCGATAATCACGTTGGGATTGTTGATCGGTGGTCTCTAAAAAGGCCGATCTCAAAAAAACGATCTCAAGCTGATGACGCTGCCGTGAGAGGTTTGGCACGACATGCAGCAGCACGTGTCAGTTTCTGTCCGGGCAGGTGAAATAATTATAATGCTGAAGGTGTACCTCATCTTCATATTTCTTCATTAAATAACTTATAAAGTAATTTGAAAACCTTGTGTGAGATGCGCGCTCTCTCTCTCTCTCTCTCTCACAAATACGCAAATGGCTTCAAATCACCACACATCGCGTCTGTCTATAAGCGAGCTGCATGCTGCATGC